CCCCAAAACCCCAAAACCCCAAAACCCCAAAACCCCATTAAGACCCTTTAATATTGAAATTGAGCTATATAACAAGTTCTTCTGTTTTATAATCTTTTGTGAGCTTCTAGAAGAAAGTGCTCTCTATTAATTAGTTCACTTAAGTTACAAAATTACAAGTCAAAACAAGCTTAAACGATAAAGTAGTTGAAGGAATGTTGCTTTCATCTTTAGAAATGCTTCGTGGCACTTCTTCTTTATGAGCATTTAGCAGTTGATTTACAAGCAATCATCTCTATAAACTTTAGTGAGTCTTCCTTTTTCATATTCAGTCATCCTTTTAGTTCCTCCTCTGGAGCAAATTCCTCCTCCGTTTTGTTTACCTTTGTTCCAAGTTCCTTGATATATCTTACCATTTGGCCACACGAATTTGCCATCTCCATGTCTTTTACCTTTGTGGTATTGGCCTGCATATTTCTTGCCATCAGCCCATCTGAAGATGCCTAGAATTAGCTTCAGTTTGTTTACCTTTGCTATGATACCTGTCATTTACAAAACCTCCTTCGTAAGTTGAGCCGTCCGGGAACTCTAGTTTTCCCTTACCATGTTTTTTACCTTGTTTCCAGCCTCCTTCATAGTAGGCTCCGTTCTCCCATTCTTGGGTTCCATTTCCATCTTTGAGGTTATTGGTAAAGTCTCCTTCATATCTAGTGCCTTCACTGGTAATGTACTCTCCAAAGCCTTCTATTTTTCCATTGATGAAATCACCAAAGTAGATATCTCCACTTGGGAAGATCTTCAGACCAACTCCATGTGGGACATTTCTCTCAAACTGTCCATGGTAGAAGACTCCATTATGGAAAACAATTCTTCCTTCTCCAACTCTCTGATTTAATTTGGTGTTCCAGCTGCCTTCGTAGAAGCCTTCAGGTACGACTGAAACATTCCTCATCTCGAAGTTCTTCTTATGGACATGATCTCTAGAGTCAAGCTCTTCATCAATTTTATGTCTGTGATCTTCATAAAGGTCTCTGATTTCATCTTTGAGTCTTTGATCAAGACTCCATTCGAACTTTTGAGGCTTCTTACCATCTTGAGCTCCTCCAACTCTATTAGTAGTAGAAACTGTAATGATTCTCTTCTTCACTGTGACTTCTTCTTCTACATGTGTTGAGCAACATTCTCCCATTTTTAGAAATTTTTGTTTCAAGTGAAATACCCCAATTTGGGGTTTTGGGGTTTTGGGGTTTTGGGGTTTTGGGGTTTTGGGG